TCGTGCTTTTTTGATCCTATATTTTATCTTATTAAAGTAAATCTGTGCATGTAATACTATTATCGCTATAGTTTCAATAGGAAAATCTTATACGCTCTTTAAATTCTGTTTGATTCATATCTTCAATCAAAATTTATAAGTTATACATCTATATTAGTAGTGTATTCTTCATCTCAGGGCTATATTTCCTTCTAACTTAAATGTTATCGATTGATTATTCCAATCTTTAATCCTTTACTATTATTATCCCAACAGAACCAATAGCATCTTTCATTTCCTCTTTCTTTTTTGATCTCATTAAACATTTGATTTGCTCAAATTAGATTGATTTTTAGATTCTTATTAATACCCAAAAAAATTTTATCATTTTAAATCTTCCCAAAAAACTTCCACTATCTTTTTAAGTTTTGAGACCTCTCTAAAAATAATAGACCCTATGATATTCTAAACAAATTTCATTAGAAGACCTAAAATTATATTAAACCTAATTTGATCCGAAGAAGTAATTATTTTTAGTATAAATCTCTTCCTTTAGTTAAGATTAAATATCACAAGTATATTTTAACCAACAAGCACCATTTCATAATTAATCCAGTTTTTAATTGCATTTCAAAAATTTGAATCGAAATTTTATTAAAATTTAACAGTTATTCTATGCAGAACAAATTTAAGTAGTAAGATGATACTAGCTTATTTAAAGAATTCTTGTTGTAATCTTTTTTGCCCGTATATAGGGCTTACCGTACTCAGAATCCTAATCTGCATCAGCTCGCAGTAACCCATCCCATTTGACAGCTTTCCAGGTTATATAATAATATTTTTTAAAATTGAAATTTTAATTTTTAACTTAAATATTTCTTATATTAATTATTTGAAAAAGTTATCAATTAAGATAAATGAGTATTAATTGGAGATTTTATTTATTTGAAAAAACAAAATCATACATGTACACATATACAAAACAAAAGCAATTTGATGATTTTATTTAGATGTTCAAGACAGAATTTGCAAAAATATTCTTATGTATGGTAATTGCTAGGTTTCTTATTCTTTGAAATTATTGCTTAAATAAGCATTGTTTTTATGACAAATTAAATTAAAGGAAGGTTTAAAAGGAACCTTTTAATTATAATTAGATTAGCTACTTTAGCTTAGGGAAATATACATTCTAACATAAATAAAAATTTATAATTTCGAAAATCATAATGCATTTATAATATTACATTATTATCATTAAATTATTTTGTAATTGTAATAGAATTAATCTGAAGTTTAATACGTATTTTTATCTGATTATAGACTATACATAGAGTAGAGAACATAATATTATAAGCATAATTAAATCATATATGTTTAGAAGAAAAGAATATGCATTTTACTATCTTTTAGGTGACTTAAATAAATCATAAACCTAGACAATTCTATTGGCTAATATTGCTCTAAAGTATTGATCTCATATTATTTTGGTTGACCCTTTTTTCCTTTTTAAAATATAATGTAGATAATGTTATCTTAGTTGATCAAAAAGTACAATATTACTTAGTGATGAAGTTCAGGGTTGGTTTATTATATACTTTTTTTGATGAATAGACTTTAAATAAATTGAAGACAATAATAAGTACACAACACAAATCTGAACTCTCATTAATCACTGAGAAGAATTATTGAAATGCAAGATTATATGACTTTACCGAAATTAATTAAGGAAGAACAGTTAGTTGCGAAAAAAATTAGTGATATCTCAGGTAATTAACTTTGTTACTATTTCCATTTTTAAATTCTCATGATTGCTTAATTCAAGAAAATTACTTTCTCAAAATTTCCTCTAAAAACTCACAGCCATTTAATCATGAGAATATTTGACTGAATTAGATTTATTTAATGAAAATGGAAATTATAAAATTGAATTTTTAAATTA